ATATATTTTAAAATTTTAATTTAGTTTCTTATTTAAAAAACTTCTATTTACTTTTATATTCAATTTTTTTGATAACTAAATCATTTTGCTCTATTCTTTTTTCATTGTATTTTCTTGAAATTTAAAAATATCCCTGTGCTTTTTGTTGTTTGTAAAATATCTGTGTTTAATTTAAAATCACACTAAAGTCATATATTTAAGTATACTAAAATAGTTAAGAAATTTTAGAATTATTTATATTTAATGAATTCTTATTTTGATCTCAATAGATTATCCCATATAAAAAAACCTCAAGATTGTGCAGGGAGTTAAGAAATAGATGAAATCTAATGGGATTATACAGACATTCCGCCTAGAAAAATAAAAAAAAAAGTTCATAATTTCATATGAAAATCAAAATTAAATAAAGTATATATAGGATGGATCTATTCTAAGAATGTAGCACTTCATAATTAATTTAGAGATTATATCAAAGACAAATCAATAAAATAGGAGGTTCTAACCAATTTGGAATAGATATAATATTTATTTTGGTTTGGATAATATGGAGAGAATAACAAAAAAATAGATAAATGGATAGCCACATGGAAGGGAGAAACCTTAGTAGATGTTGGTGGCTATTACTCAGATAAAGGATTAAAGTAAGGTCTATGGAAAGAATTAATAAAGAATTATTGGAGGTTAATAAAATTTATTTTTAAATAGTAAAGCATAGGTGTATGAAGTTGGAAAATATAAGAATAATTTGAGGAAAGGATCATGGAAATACATTTATAAGGATTAGGAGATGTATTAAAAATTTACTTAGTTTAGTGGTGGAGGAAAATACAATTAGTAAGGTTAAAGAAATGGTAAATGGATAGAGTTGAATGATTAATTTTCTTAATATTCATAAATTGCACATATTGGTTTATATCAAAATGGTAAAAAAGTTGGTAAATGGGATATTTATTATAGAAAAGATGAGAATCAACCATTTTAACTTCTGTGATTATATTATGAAAGAATTATTTAGTGGGGGTGGATTATATGATGAATAACGTTCCATGAAGATTGGAAAATGGAACGAACTAAGCATAGGATATGATAATTTTTCTTAAGTTATATATAGAGGTGAATATTCAAAAGGTAAGAAGGTTGCTAAATGGGATATATTATTTCGAAAAGATGAATAGGAAACATATGAATAATTGTATTTCTTTCAATTAAATGGTTTAGAGGAGGTGGATTATATGATGATGAAGGTCATAAGAAGATTGGATATTGGACTGAATTAAGCGACGAATTTAATTCTGGCTCGTAAATAGTTTTTTATGGAGAATATTAAAATGGGAAAAAAATTAATAAATGGATTACTAAATAGGAAGGAGAAGAGATGTAACATTATTTTGTTTTTTTAAATAATTTTTAGTGCTGGGGGATCATATGGCGAAGGAGGTTAAATTAAGGTTGGAAAGTGGATTGAATTGAGTGAAGGATACGGAATATGGTCCTAGGTTATTTATTAAGGTGAATATAGAAATGGTAAGAAATTTAGTAAATGGGAAATATTATAGAGGATGAAAGGAAATGAACAACTTGAATAAATGTAAAAATAAAATAGAAATTTAGAGGTGGTGGATTATATGATGAAGTAGGTTCTAATAAAATTGGATATTGGACAGAATTGAGTGATGAATTTAAATATGATTCATAAATAGTTTAGTATGGTGAATATTAAAATGGGAAAAAAGTTAATAAATGGATTACTAGTTTAGAAGGAGATTATTTGTAACCTTATCTAATTAATAATAAATATTTTAGTGGTGGAGGATCATATCATTAAGCAGGGACAATTAAGGTTGGAAAGTGGATTGAATTGAAAGATGGATTTAATGAATGGTCTTAAGCTATTTATTATGGCGAGTATAAAGATGGTAACAAAATTGGTATTTGGGATATTTTATTTTAAAAACCCCTAAAGCAAGAATTGGAAGTGATGTAATTATCATAATAAAATATTTTAGTGGTAGTGGATCATATGATAAAGGATGCTAAATCAAAAATGGAAGGTGGATTGAGCTTAGTGAAAGATTCAGGGATAATTCTTAAGTCACTTATAATGGTTGTTACAACAGAGGTAAAAAAGTTGGAAGATGGGACATCTTATAGGAGGGAATCAATTAGTAAATAATACGAATTAGCCTAATTTTAGTGGTGGAGGAGAATATGATGAAGATTCATTAAAGATTGGAAGATGGATTGAATTAAGCGAAAGTTTCTCAAGTTCTTCTTAAATCACTTATGATGGTGAGTATCAAAAAGGAAAAAAGGTTGGTAAATGGAATATTTATTATAAGAAGACTTATGAAACTTATAACTACGAATATATGTAGATAAAAAATAATATATATTAGCGGCGGGTGGATTTTATGATGAAGTAAAGATTGGTAGGTGGGTTGAGGAGTGCGATAGTTTTAATGAATATAATTAAGTCATTTATATTGGCGAATATAAAAACTGCAGAAAGGTTGGAAGATGGGATATTTTTTAAAGAAAGGCAGGCCAGCAAAAATTTGAAAAAATGTAAATATTGTTAGATAAAAATACTAGTGGTGGTGGAATATATCATCAAGAAAATTCATTTAAGACAGGTTTTTGGATTGAATTGAGCAATAGTTTTAGTAATGAATTGTAATATATTTATCATGATGAATTGAAGAAAGGGAAGTAAGAAAATCAATAGATGGAAATGGATTTGCAATCTAATAAAATAAGTGAATAATTAAGAAATTTTGAATGATGACTAAAAATCCTTTCTCTTAATATATAGATTATCTATTAATCAAAAAAATGTTCTTTATGAAGCCAACACTATTCAGCCTTTTACTGACTTTCGGGCATAGGCCTTTGACAATTACAACACCTTTAAAGAAAGAAGACTTGTTAGGCCCTCATACTTTCTAAATGTAAAAAAAGTCAGTACTCTAAACGAATATTTAAATATTTGTTGTAGATCAAGATATAGTTAGAT